AGGATAAATAATAATAAATAACCGAGGAACGTCGATACAACAGAACCGCGGCGACAGTGCAGAAAGCAAGTCGTCTGCTTCTTGTACAGGAGTTTCGGTGACGTCAGAACAATACCGAGCTCTGATTAGCCTTGATTTAAAGGATAGTGGGTATACCTTAAAACAAGCTGCCTTGAGGTCTACCCACTATCCTTCATTCAGAACCAATCAGAGCACGGCGTCTTTCTGACGTCACCGGAACTTCTGCAAAAGAAGCAGACGAACTTCCACTCCGCATTATCTTCTCATTATTCGATATTTAAACGCAAAGCTACACAACGATTTCAAAACATTTTAAATGGAATATCGACATCAAACTACTTTATGTCCAAAGTACTAACCGCTATTTGCATTATAAACTGATGAGAAGGATTCCAGAAGAAACTTTGTTTCAAGCAATTTACAGCTTTGCTAACCTGACTTCAGACCTCTGCCTATCCTAAATACTTTACTCGAAATATTGCATTTAAGAAACTTTTGGAAGTTTGTTGGTATCTTGCAAAGGTATTTCGTCTCGAGTATTCGCTACTATACCTTAATTACATTTCTCACCATCTTCTATTCGGTCTCTCAAATGAATATTTTCAACCTTAGAAAAATTCGTCGCCTAGGATTTACGAACTAGGGAACGTCTTACTCCCGGCCAGAGCTGAACCGATTGCCAGTTTGGAGCCATGCGACCGAACACAGAACATTAAACAAGGCGCACTAGTAAACTGCAGTCTCCAAATGCCAAAAAAAAAAAAAAAGAAAAAAAATGAATAGGCCAAACGTTTTTCTCCTCTAGTCCGTTTTTTTTTTTTATACGAATGGCGCGTCACGGTTGGCGCTAGCAAAGGTCTGGTGACGTCATTCGAATTTCGCACCCAGGCTCCACCTCTTGTGCGAAGCTAAAGTGGTTTCCTAAAGTCAGAGCGGGAAGGACGAGATGGTTGGAATGATCAATATTATCTTATATATTTTCGACAGAGACTCTGAAGGACAACTGTATGATTACTCCTGGTCTTATCCACACTGAAGACTCTTATTGCGCATGTTCATATGGGTGCGAATTCTTGCAGGACGAAGATCGGCACCCTTTAAAATCCGTAATCGGTAAGGACGCTCCATTAGAGGGCCTCAGGTCCTTTAATATATTAATGAATTTTGAGTCCTCTAGGGAAATAACAGGACGAAAAGAACTCAGAATTTAATTTGTTTTGTACGTTTTTCTTTCTGTCGTGCCGCTTTATTAATAAACTTAAACAAAAAAGGAGCGACAATCAAAATATTTGAAATCAGAGTGCGGAGTTTACGACAAAATAGAAGAGTAATAAAGTTCCTTCCGTGTGATTTAATTCACCGAGACGTTTTATTTATAATAAATAGACATAAGAAATCAATTTTCGTGGAAAAGTGAAGGCCTCAATTAAGAGTTCTTAATAAGGCACCGAATTCGGGATCATACGTCGTGGTGCCAGAGGCGCCTTATGTCTAAAAAAAATAGGTTAATAATTCTTCTAAATTTCCTCTCTTATATAAGTCGAAATCAGTGCAATCTAAATATTTTAAAACTTCCTTTTAGCAGCTAGACAGCATGCAGCGTTAGGGAGGGCGAGCAATCAGCACAAACTCTATGCACTGGCATGCACTGTCAAGCAACTGTAGTCGAACATGGCGAGTGTGTTGTATAAATGCACGTAAGACGACAGCGCGAAGTCCGGCGTTTTCCTTCGGTCAAAGGACTGGCGAGAGAGGGAGGGCAAAAATAATTGCATAAAGTGTACGGTGAAATGTGCATGTCAAGAGAGCGGTGTAAGATTTAACGCGCCAGCATCACTGAGAAAGAGCGTCAAGGGCCACCCATTAAGGTTGCAACCGAGGCCACAATAAAACGGATGGATGGAATGAGTCGTGCTGACCGACACGTGGGGATAGAGCGAGCAAGTGTTCCAAAATGCATCTTAGGGGCATTAGGACTCAAGGAGGGGCATTCCAATCAAAAGAATATGAAGAGAATGTGCAAAAAATACCCGATGAAGAGACAGACCACGTAGCAGAACGCGTTTTATAAACTATAGTTCATACAGAGATAATAAAAACACTGAAATGGACGAGGGACAGACACTCACAGTTCTTTGCATGAAAGAACTTTGAGTGTTTTTATTATTTCTGTATTAACTACAGAGACAGCCGAGCGAGTGTCGTCATTGGTTAAAGTCGGGTGAAAACAAAAGCACGTGGACGCGTTTAAAAGGGGAAAGGGGGGAGGGGGGTAAACAAACGTGCGAGGTTCGCGAAGAGCAGACGATCTTGCTCGCCGTATAGGGAGCGTGCGACACCTAAAGGGGGCGCTCCCATCCACTACAGATGATGACTCTGCTGGGAGCTGCACCGCGGCGCCACTGTCCTGTCGCAGGCTTCCCATAATCATTCCGCAGCCAATCAGGTTGCGGCGTTACTCGTTATGAAGGCCGAAAAGAAATCAGGTAGCGCACGAAGATAACAAGCCCTGCCGTTCTTACTCTGTCAGTGGCAGGGCCATGTGATTACGGTCCCGCCCACACCCATACGCAGAGAGCGGGGACAGATCACGTAAGAAATGTGGTTGCTACACAAACGGTTATATGTGGTCTTTTTTTTTTTTAATATATACTACGCTTGGGGAATTACCTATATTTATTTTCCTTCGGAGCTTCAGGTGAGTACTAGCTGCAATATACAGATAGAAACCAGCCACTAACGTGGCCTGAAGACCTTCTAAGCCAAAACCTTTATCTGAGCTGGAAGACTGCTGCATGATGTTTTATGTTTTTAGGGTTCCACGAAAAAAAAAAAAAGTTAAATCATATTTTTGTAAAAGTATTGCAGAGCCCAAGTACACACCCTTCTACGTATCTTCACAACTGAGCACGAACAGCACCACAGTAATTAGGAGGAATTGGTCGCCGGCTTTTATTTTACCGTTGAAAGACTGTCATCAAAATTTTAAAGAAGTGTACAAATATATCTGATGCGCGGTAAATAATTCGGCTGGGTGGCGCCGTTTACCCGACAGCCTTAAGCTCTTTATTGCGTAGATATTTACACGAGAACAATAAATCCCGTTGCTACGTTTTTTTTTTTTTTTTTTTTTTTAATTACGTGAGCCGGGCTTAACAACGAAGCAGAACTGGTGACGAAACTGAGACGACCGCTATGCGTAACATATATACGTGACCGTAACCAGGATCGAAGGATATAGTCCATTGCTATTTACCCCTAAATTCTGCTGAATAGGTAAAAAGTGGCTAATAAAAATAAAGAATAAAACATCGGCCAGCAAGAAAAAAAACGATTAATTGTAAAAATATCGGCGGGCAGTCAAAGGTGTCGCATCGTCGTAAAATAAAACTGGCGGATTGTCAATAGTACAGCTGGGGCCAGATTCGCAGTCTATAAATTTTATCATTCGGCTAAATCGGCTTATTTCTTGCAGCTTAATTAAGCGCTCAATAATTCCACTGACTTAAATATCCTTTTTTTTTCTTTTGTGGAAGCATGACGCGATGGCTAACCACCCCTCTCGTTTCGTGCCGTATAAGTAAAGGGAATAGAAGACATAACCAAAATTTGGGGTAATCCCGACCGCTTGAATACTCTTCCGGGTAACTTCTAATGCGGAATTATTATAATTTGTCTTCTTTTTTGTCAACTCATAATATTATTTTACAGTAATCAATATTGATTTAAAAATCTTAAATTCTAGAACGTCTGTAAAATAACATTATTTTTAACGAGAAAAAGGTCAAAGTACAGGCTAGCTGGTGGAAGTCAACCATTTCGTCATTTACCCTGAGACTGGGGGGTTTTTTGATGAGAAGAAGTAACAGAAAAAGACCTGTCTGTTTTTTCTGTTACTTCTTCTCTTCGAAAAAACCCCCAGTCTCAGCGTAAACGACGAAATGATTATTTTTAACCTTTTTTTTTTCAGAAAAGCTTATACAGGTCCAGCTGTATAATTCATAACACAGTAGGCGAGTTAAAACGGCACCTCTAAGACAGTTCAGACGTTTTATGTATTATGAAGAAGAATATTCTAACGTGTTTACTGTATTGTCAATTCCCAGTATGTACGTTGGAGTAATTATAGAGGTAGAAACGACATTAATGTCTAGAACTATTGTAAAAATTGATTTGCATTCGCCTTTTTTTTTTAGAAAAGAGTATGAGCCAAGCTATTTAAAATATGACGTAGTAAACTACGAGAAATTACACATTTAAGAAACTTCAGGCCTTTGTGCGCACCCTGACTAGTAACATTTCGAACACTGTGCTATGACGTACAGCCATACAAACATTCATCTAAATTGTCTGATGATATTTCTGTAAGATTCTCAGCTCCATTTCGCGATACTTCGTGCTCAGTTTGTGCGCGTGTATTTTTACTCTTCGTGAAATGGGCATGTTTTTTTGTGAACTTTTAAAAGGCACTAACTAGCGCGATAACCGATTTTGCTAGTTTCTGGCAGACAGTTCAAATTGATTTTTCTGTAAGTCCACATCTTTTTTTTTATTATCCAAAATATAAAAACATTGACAGGGATGGTGAATCACTTAGATTAAAGCATTACAACCAACAAAAATAACCCTGGTTTACTGTCACTTTGGACGCAGGTTGCATCTTAGAATTCCAATTGGTTATTCGGTGTTAGCTTTACTCAATAAAGTTATAAAGTTCGTATTGGGAGGTGTTTATAGTCGGTTTCCAACATTTCTTCGGGTTAGATATTTTCTTCTAAAAAAAAAAAAAAGTCGTGTAATCGCAAACAAAACAAAGACGAATAAAATAATTATAGCGACATGTTTGCAGGCCTTTGAACGGACAGCTCTGATCGACAAATACGCCAGAAACAGCCGAACGAAAAAGCATCTCGATGATCTATAAGCCGACAATAAAATCTCTCTCACGCGAGCAAAATCAAACTTTTCTTTGCACCCACCTTCCGGAAAAGCTTGGGGTAACTCTCGGCTCCTATCAGCATCCCCGCGCCACGGTAGCGACGGCGAGGCACGCATCAACAACCCCTTCCACCGATACCCCCAGATCTCTCCCACAGTCAAACCCCAACTTCTCAGAAGGAAAGCAGCTAGCAGCGGTCGCCTCTTCTTTTCCCCGGCCGCCCCTCCGAGCCGGCGCGCTCTCTGATCGAAGCGGACTGCCCTCCTTCGCGAAGGAACGACCCGTCACCAACTTCGCCACCTCGGCGATCTGCTCTCGGCTCTCCACGCGAACGTACTCCACTCCCTTCTTCGCCCGGCGAGCGCAGGCGCAGTAGCTCCAACCTAGTCTCAGTGGCCGTATATACTCCCCGGTTTATGTCCTCGTATACTTCAATCTCGCGGACGGGCTCTCCCTGGTCCCTCCTATAGTCGCTGCCCTCACAAAAAACAAAAACAATAAAACCTTCGGTTATATTTTTTTTTACGGCTCGACGGCGGGTGTAATTATCGTGGCCCGTATGGAACCGGCCGCATTGATTTGACGTAATCCTTTGTCGAGGCGAAGTGGTTTTCTTGCCGCCCGGAGTCGGCCCTCGTGCGTGCCCGACAGGGGTCTCGGTGTCGCCCCCTCCCCGACACGATGTCCTTGCGATTACGTGTTGTGTTGTGAAGGGCTGCCTCGTGTGGATGGTTGCCGGGGTCGCTCCCGTAACGATTGGAGGAACCGCCGTGTGGCGTGTTTATTAGGTATCGAGATGGCTTTTTCTGTTTTATGGACATGTCAGATCGCAGAGAATTGTAAACATGCTAGGGCAGTGACTCGAGCGAAGTAATTGAAATACCGTAATCTGGTAACATTTGAAGTAGTTTGCGAGTTTCATTTATCATTTTGGACTTTTTGGCACTAGTTATTGATGTACGTAAATTGAAATAGAGATTCGTATTGTTATTATTATTCTGTCAAGCTGATTCTTAGTTGTAGCGGATCGCGTGCGGGCCAAAAAGTTTCAAACGTCTGTTGTTTTTTTTTTTTTGTTAGCTTCTCATGTTTTGGAAGGTATTGAGATTTCGGGACTGAGCCCTGATCATGTGCGAGCAAGTGTCAAAGCACAAGCAAAGGCGCCCTGAATTCGAACCTGAGGCAATCAGTGCCTTCAATTTTGAGAAAAAAAAAATAGAACAATTTGAATATGTTGTGCCTTCGTTAAATTTTTTACCATTTTAGCCGTTGGCCATTTCTGCAATCTTACGTCTTTCAACTTCAGACTTGAAGTCCACATGCGATCCTTTGAAAATACTGATGCAATATTTTAAATTTTCTGATTTCAAGAATTTTAGTTGTGTCACAAAGTAATAAAACATACTCACGTCGTAATCACTATACACCGCGCTTGATCATATGGATAACAGAACTTGTAAAACCAACGAACAAAGCGAAACGAATGTAAAGACCGCGTCTCTAATATTCGACGGTGACACGAGAAACAGTCAAATGTAGTTATGTTGACAAAAATTGCCTTATTTATTTATTTATTTATTTATTTATTTGTACATACTGCTGGCCCGTGGGACCGTGGCAGGGAGGAACAAACACACACACACACAAAAAAAAGAGTATGACTCATACCTCCAACAGAGCTACGAACAATAAAGTGGTTACAAGATTAAATACAAAACGCGATATCAACGATTTGACGTCGGTCAGTACTAGTAACAAAATATTCAAGTAAGTAAATCATTTTCTACCAGTAATCTGGTCATTCCATACTTCTGGTGTAATATAACTGTTTTGTCATGAATGGTCGACGTACTCTTCTCGCTCTCCACTTCTGCCTGCCGCCTCCTTTCCTCTATCCTCTCCACTTTTTACCTTGCCCCAACTTGGCTCCCCTCACAGCTTAGGAGAGGGGAGCACTAAGAGGATTCCCGTATTTACTTGAGTAATAACCGCACTGTTTATGAAAAAAAAAAAAAAAAAAAAACCTGAGGGTTCGTTTTTCCGCGGAGCACGCAGATTGCCGATCGCCGCAATGAACAGCATGATTCCAGCGGTTTACAGGATAGAGATAACGCCTTCGCGCGAAGATACCATTTGTGAAGATTGCATTTGTATGGAGAATCGTGTTCTCGAGCTACCTATTCGCTATGTTATTTATGCGCAACGCGATGATTGGCTGTATATGTGTTCTGCGGGAAAGTAGACGCAAGGGCCTTGTCCGTAAATAGTGCTGCTATCACTCGAGTAGATACGGTACCTTGTCGATTGAGACTTCGTCCCTGTCGTTCTGTGTTTTGTCCCTTGTCCGTATCCCCAGTCTCGGGTTACAACTATGCTCACGGTACCTTCCCTGCAGAAAACCGCAACCGAGATTGCACGTCAGCCTTTAAGTTACTTCCCTGGCGTGATACAGACTGGGACGGGAAGTTGCACTTGCGATGTGTTTTATAAATACAAGGTGATATGTTTTAATAGAAATAGAATTTTTAAAAAGAGGAAAATTGCCAGCTGAATCCCGTCTTCTCAAGCTGTTTCTCGATTTCGGAGGACATTATAATGTCCTCCGAAATCGAGAAACAGCTAGAGAAGACGATTCTGCCCTTAACTATAGTTAAGAGCAGAATCGTCATCGTAAGTTGGCTAATTAACTAAAATATGTTAATTAACCTTTAATAACAGTTTTTACGGGTCACGTTGCAATTGTAGAATTGATGGCAATTTCTATTAGAATTCAGACCAATTCAAAAATATTTAAAAAAGTATTAGTTTTTGAAACACTAATGAATCGATTTTCCCTTTTTTTGTTCCCCAAATAATTGTTACGCGCAAAAAGCACGCAAAAATCAGACCTCGACCCCTGCCCACAGTTACGCCTGCCCGCAGATTAAATCGGGTTAAAAAACCTGATATTGCAAGTTACCGTTTGCAATAATTAAAATATTAAATATAATTAAAATATTGTTATTTATTTGAATTGGTTTGACCTCTAGTATTGATTATTGTCATTTCCACAATTGAAACAGGACCCCTGCAACGTGGCTTGTCACTCCGCGTTTGCACTCGATAGTGTACCTGTAGTGCTGCAGCGTTTTGAAGCCTTCTGAGCCACGAGAGAGCCATATGTGATCAGTTTGATTGCAAAACGAAGCGCCGTCCAGGAACATATAGAAGTTCCTGAGGGCAAAACTAATGGCAAGGTACACTTTCTTGATTGTCGACTAATTTCGTTCCGCTCCGGTGAGTATGTGGCTGGCGAAAGCTACTGGCCGAAGGAGGCAGCCATGTTTTTGCGAAGGAACTGCTCCCAGGCCCTAATCGCTTGCGTCTGTTTGCCCGATACACGGAGGTTTGAAGCCTGGAAGATGCGAGCACGCATTCTCGCGCACGGCCCTGGACTTGTTAGGAAACGCTGTTTCTTGTTATTGTACCCATGCAGGCTTTTGACGTCGTGAGGAGGTGGGTAATCATCGCTCGCAGCTTATCCCCGTTTGGGCACTGCGTGGCGCTATCGACAAAGAAGCTAAGAAAACTGATTTTTGGCGCGGCTAACTCGATTTTCTCCGGGTAAATCGTAAGTCCGGCCTGACGCATTCGTTCAAATATACTCCGAAGATCTATAAGCTGTCCCTCGAATGTTCGTGAAAACACGACCACGTCATTAATATACGCCATGGCGAGCTCATATTTTGCGTCACATAGAACAACGTCCATTAAGCGCTGAAAGTTGGCGGGTGAATTGGACAAGCCAAAAAGAGGGCGAGCGAATTCAAACAATCCTCTGTGGCAAATAAATGCCGTCATTTGCACGTCTGCCGGGTGCACTTCGATTTGAAGTCGAGGATTGTGAAAACAGACGCATCTTCAAGGGCGTAGACGCCCTTGGACATGCGTCTATTTTAAGTATTTCCTCAGTTATGTATACATAACTGAGGAAATACTCGGAAACGTTTAGGCTCCTGTAGTCTACACAAAGTGTGGCCGTGCCACTCTTCTTAGGAGCAAGAACCACCTGTGAAGCCCAGGGACTTTTTGTCTCGGCAGGTAGTACAGATCCCGATGCCATCTGCAAATTTATGTTTCTCTCTTTACAGAACTGGAGTACGGCGTCCCCAATAAGCGATACGTTTGTGCTTGTATCTAGAAGCGTGGCTATTGGGGCACCCAACACATTCCCAGTCATGCGTGGTTCAACAGACTTGAGAGTGGGTTCTACTCTACGTACAGCTGGAATGAGCACAGCTGGTGACCCGGGCTCAGGAGGTGTCGTAGCCCTGGACGACTGGCGCGGGTCTCTGAGTGCTCGGCCATCTAGGGCGACCATCCTTGGCGTTGAGAACTTCGAGCAGTCGGTGTCCCCTGGAATCATCCCTGGACTGGGCCGCCCGGCATTCAGCGTGAACGGGACCGCGTTAGGGTTCAATGCAAAACCGGTCGCACCGGGGTTCAACGCCGTGGTTGGCAACCGACTATCTCATAACCGAAATTGCCTTGTTTTGGCCTCCCGGGGCTCGATGCCGGAGCGGTCCAACTGGAAATCTGATGACTGACATTGTCGCGTCCCGGCATGTCGGGGTTCAACACCGATGTGGTCCAACCAGCTGTTTCATTACTGTGAATGGGCGGGGCACGGCCTCCGGGGGTGACCGCTGGAGCGGATCCACTACAACAGTGTCTTGATCAGGCATACCGGGCGTAAACACGAGGGATCCTCCGGGCTTCTCCTAACCGTAAAACTCCGGGGCCGCAAACAGCCTCGGTAGTGCGACAAGTGCCAACCTCCGGGCGGTCCAAAGTCACCTGCGACGGATGGACCTTGAGGACCGTGGTTCCTCGTTGACGGCGGATAGCGGAAGTTTACCATAGCCGTCTTACGCAGTTTTCCCGCATCCAGGTTTGGGGCTGTTCGCCGCACTCCCGTGGCACGTGTCTTGGTTGGCCGCACCGGGGAAAGCGGAGCCAGGTCTGTTTGCCATCTTCTACACGGGTCCTGTAAAGAGGGGCGCGTGGTCTGTCGTCGCACTCCGGATCTCGCCCGCGTACTTGCTGCGGGTTGTGAGAGTGCTTCTCGCTAGACTATTCTACATCTGCGCGCTTGTTTCCCAAGCGTTCTCGCGATTCATATGCGCGAGGATCAAGAGCTCGGGGAGCGGCATAGTCGGTCGATTCGTAGACTCACTCTGCTTTTCATACTCGTCTTGGCTTTTAGACAAAGGAAAGGTTGGTTCAAGGGCGGTGCTTCTTGGTGGAGGAGGC